TCCCCCCCCGCACGACACAACACAACAACCCGACAACCCCAGCAACACCAACCCCACAACCCAGCAACCCCACAACACAACAACCCAGCAACCCCACAACCCAGCAACCCCACAACCCAACAACCCAGCAACCCCACAACATGACAACCCAGCAACCCGACAACCCAGCAACCCCACAACACGACAACCCAAGCCCCCGCACACCCTAAAAACAGCCCAGCTCACCCCAGCCGCACAACCCCACCACATGTCCAGTGCACCCCCCAGCACGACACCACAACCCAACAACCCAACCCCACAACCTGACAACCCAACCCCCCGCACACCCTAAAAACAGCCCAGCTCACCCCAGCCGCACAACCCCACCATACACCCAGTGCGCCCCCCCAGCATGACACCACAACCCAGCAACACTAACACGACAACCCAACAACACGATGCCCCCTATGTCCCCGCAGCAATCCAACAACACCACAACCTGACAACACAACACCCCCATACATCTGCCAGCAACCCATCAATACCACAACCCTGTGACCCCCAGCATCACAACAACTCAACACTACCGCAACACGATGCTCCCCCCAAAACAGCACAGCTCACCCTGTCCACACAGCCCCAGCACACGCCCAGTGTGCCCCCCAGCACGACACCACAACACGACACGACAACTCACCACCTCCGCCAACAGCCCCCAAACTCCCTCAGCAACATGACAGCCTATGACCCCCCCCCACAACTCCCACAAAACAACAACACATTGCCCCAGCATCACCCAACACACACAGGACAACACAACATGACTCCAGCCTCTCACAACTTGGCCCCAGCCCCACCCCCGTGCACCCACAACCACCCCCGTCCTGCCCCCCTGCACACACACAACCCAAAGCAGCCCATGGCCACACGCTGCCCCCGACCCACTGCCACAGCCCAGCCCAACCCCACACGCGACTGTGACATGAGGAACACGCCCTCCTAGGGCAGCCCCATCCCCAGGGACTCCCTGCCCCCCAGCCCTCACCCCTGCTCCCCAGCCCTCCCTTTCCCCCCTCACCTCACCCCACCCATTCCCCTTACCCCCACCCCCATCTGCTCCCTGTCCCCCCTTCCCTTTCTGCCCCCCGCCCGGGCCCCCCGTGTCTCCCCCCCGCACTTACACTGCACGTCTAGCACGTACTGCGTCTGCTTCCGCTGCCCGCGCAGGGCGGGATGCGTGGCCTCGCACGTCACGATGGCGCCGTGGTCGCGGCGCTCGACCCGCAGCCGTACCGACGTGCTGACCCGGAAAACCTTCCCCAGCTGCTCCCGGGTGCTGAGTCCTGCCACGGCACCAGGGGTGAGCGACTCACCGTGACCCCGGCCGGCCCCCAGCCCACCGGCCAGCCCCTCGCCCTGCAGGAGACAGGCCCTGCCCCCCCAATCCCCCAGCCAGCCCCCGCCCTGCAGGAGGACAGGCCCTGCCCCCCCAACCCCCCCAGCCAGCCCCCCGCCCTGCAGGAGACAGGCCCTGCCCCACCCCCAGCCCCCCAGCCAGCCCCCCGCCCTGCAGGGGACAGACCCTGCCCCACCCCCAACCCGAGCCAGCCTCCTCATCCCAGAGGGGACAGGCCCCCTGCCCCATTCCCGGCCCCCCAGCCAGCTCCCTGTCCTGCCCTGCCCCACCCCCTAACTCCTGAGCCAGCCTCCTCATCCCGGAGGGGACAGGCCCCCTGCCCCATTCCCTGCCCCCAGACGGCCCAGGCCCCCTAAGGGGGATAGGCCCCTTGCCCCCCCTCACCTCGCAGCTCCCGCCGGTCCCGGTACCAGCGCAGGGTGGCCACGGGGCGCGACCGGGGCACGACGCACGTCAGCTCGACCTCCCCGCCCTCCACCGCCTGCTCCTTCACCTCCACCGTCGGGTTCTCGGGGGCCACTGCAGAGACACAGGGGGCAGGGCAGGGGGGTCACTGGGGCTGGCCCCCCATCTCTTCCCAGAATCCCCCGCGTCAGCCGCCCCCCATCTCTTCCCAGAATCCCCCGCGGCAGCCACCCCCCGTCTCTTCCCAGAATCCCCCGGGTCAGCCGCTCCCCGTCTCTTCCCAGAATCCCCCGCGGCAGCCACCCCCCGTCCCTTCCCAGAATCCCCTGGGGCAGCCACCCTGCATCTCTTCCCAGAATCCCCCGGGGCAGGCGCCCCCCTCATCCCTCACCCCTTCCCAGAATCCCCCACAGCAGCCACCACCCCCGTACCTTCCCAGAATCCCCCGTGGCAGCCATCCCCCCATCCCTTCCCAGAATCCCCAGGGCAAACAACCCCCATCCTTTCTCACAGCCCCTCCATCCCTCCCCACTCTCGCGGGGTCCCCAGCCGCACACCCTCCCGTCCCAGCCCCCCGGGGTCCCCAGCCACACACCCTCCCATCCCAGCCCCCCGGGGACCCCAGCCACACCCCCTCCCGTCCCAGCCCCCCGGCCCCGCACCCAGCACGGTGAGCAAGGCGATCTGGTGGTGCGTGTCGTCGGTGTAGAGCTGGCAGAAGTAGCCGCCCTCGTCCTCCAGCCGCACGTCAGAGAGCTGGATCCGCACCTGCTTCTGGGTGAACTCCACCAGCTGGAACCGGTCGTCCTTCAGGGCTGGGGAGACAGGGATGGGCTCAGTGGCTGCCCCCGGCCCTCCCGCCTGGTGGCTCCTCACCCCGCGTGCCCGCCCCCGCCCGGCGCCCCTGACCCTGCGTGCCCGCCCTCAAGCCCGGCGCCCCT